AAATCCAGACAAAGCCAGGGGACTTGAGCACTTAGTTACTTGTATTGGGAATGCTTTGGTTATAAGAAACAGCATACTGGCTGGCGTAGCTCAGTGGATTGAGTGTGGGCTGTGAACCAAAGTGTCGCAGGTTCGACTGCAACCCAGTCAGGGCACATGCCTGGGTTGCAGGCCATGACCCCCAGCAACCACACATTGATGCTTCTCTCTCTCTTTCTCACTCCCTTCCCTCTCTGAAAATAAATAAAATCTTTTTTAAAAAAGAAAGAAACAGCATAACAGTAGCCAAAATAAATGTGGGATTTATTTTCATTGTATAATTAAAAGTCTAGACTTGAGCAACTATAGCCTGATATAGCTGGGCTTTCTGTGATTCTTTCATTCTTTTAAGGTTGAAATATGTAGTTCTAGTCATCACTTCAGCGTTCAAAAGCAAGAAGGAAGGCTACAAATTGCCCAGAAACTCCCAGCAGGTTGTCCCCTACATCTCATTGACCAGAATTGGTCACATGATCTCCCTTAGCTGCAAAGGAGGGTGAAAAAACAGAATTGGATAGTCTCAATTGGCTTGTACCAGTAATTGACCTTCCCTGCAGCGGGGCACACTGTTAACCCCAGGGAAGTTGGACCCTGACCAGTGTGGCTCGATTCCCGGTCAGGGCATGTGCCTGGGTTGCGGGTTTTGTCCTAGGTTGAGGTGTGTACGAGAGGCAACCAATCAATATTTCTTTCTCACATCCATGTTTCTCTCCCTCTCTTTTCCCCCTCCCTCTCCCCTTTCTAAAAATTAAAAAAAAAAAATTTAAGAAAAGGGAAAGATGGGTTTTGATTGAATTAACCAGTGTGGTGGGTGGTCCATTCCAACACCCACAAGAAGCATTAGAAAGTGTAGGATTGAGTTGGTATAAGGATATTCGTCCCAATCTACCACTCATAATGCTGTATTAAATGTTTTTACAGAAAAAAGGATCAACTGTTCACTTCGGTCCTTTCCAACCCTTAATTATTGCAAATGTATTTCTTATACTTCAACTGTATTCTTTTCTTTGCCCTGTTTCACTTGTCTCTGTTCCTCAGCCCAGGGGATAAATACTGTGAAGGAGATGTTTTTTCTCCCTCAAAATGTTATCCTTCCAACTTCTTGGTCTGATTTTTTATTTTATTCCTCGGTTGGTCTTTCCATCAACTGACTGACGATCTCAATTGCCCTCTGTCTGAATTCTGCTTGCATCCATTCTGCCTCACAGATGCATGTTATGAATGCCAGCTAGTTGAAAGTCTCCAATTTTTGTCTGGTACTCTACTAACCTTCCCTTTTTCTCTTTCTCCTCCTCTTTCTCCTTTCCTCTTGTTTTCTCTCCTTCCTGTTGCTGCTGCAGAGCGTCTCTACAGCCAACTTGAGCGAAACCGCCTGCTTTCTAATGAGCTGAAGCTAACGCTGCATGATCTGTGTGACTGATGGCAGGGCTCCCTGATGCCCATTAAAATGAGCTTATCGCTCACACCACTGACCTGGACCCCAGCAAAAAAGCTGATTGTTTTTTAAAAAGTTACTAAATTGCCCTAAGCAAATTGCTTTTTCATTGGGGCAGTTAGAATATTGCTGACTTCCTAAGAGTACTGTGGGTGATAAAAGGGAGGGGCTTGAGGGATTGTAGTGAATGTTCTGTTCTACACCCTTACTTGCTGCTTGTTCACTTGTGTACTGAATGTAGGATGTGTTCCCTTGCATGGATGTTTTCTAACAATAAAAGGAATGACTTGACAAGGTGTTGTAACTGCTTCATCTGAAGGCCCAGTAGTGGGCCTTTCTGATGGTTCAAAAAAGGGAAGGGAAGGAAAAGGGTGTGGAGTATTAATGGATTTGTGTGCCGTCATCTCTGAATTGAAGATTTGAGTATTTTCCTACCTCCCTAGAGCAGTCACAGAGGTTTGCTTTCTGGGCAGATGAGATTTTCTAGGATGTATAGCTGCTAGTTTTCTTACTGACATTTCCCTCTTGCTTTTTCCTGATTTTGTGTTTAAGTAACTGTGTCACAGAGTAGTTCTGGGCAAAAACCTGGCAACAGTCTCAAGGTTTTGCTTATATGTGTATGTTGGTAGTATTCTTGGCTTTGTTTTCTTTAGAGATTATTTAAATTAACTATGGGGGTTCTTTTATTTATCCCATCAATTACTCCTTTCCTTTCTACGTTTTGGGGAAAGCTTGTAGTACATGAAACTCCCCCTGTATTCTTTGTAAGTTGAGACCCTGATGTTTTTACTGGTAGAAATGTACCCACCCCTATTCTCAATGGTTAAACCCCAGTGAACCTATTCAAGTAGGTATTGTTCTCTGGGTGAAGCCTTAAGGGAGTGGATGGTTGATGTTTAAAGCTGCATCCTCTGAAAGCTGGAAGGCTTGGTTGGGTGTGGGAGGGAAAAGAAATGACTGATAAGGTTCCCAACTCCCCCTGAAATACAGCAGCATCTGCAACTTCAGTAGGTTAAGCCTGAGGCCCTGCAAAATGGACTGATGCAATAGTTCACTTCTGAGGCTGAGAAGGCAGCTGCTTTATTAGTCCAGCTTCCCCGCAACAGGAGCAGTTCTCAGAGTGGGTAGATCTTGAAATGTACTTCTGATTTTGTAATGTCTCTCCTTTACCCCCATTAGATAAACTGAAGTGCACGAAAGAGGAACACCTCTGTACACAAAGGATGCTGGACCAGACTCTGCTTGACCTGAATGAGATGTAGAGCACCCTAGTCCTGCCCTGCCGACGTTCCTCCCTCTGACCCCGACTCCGCCTGAGGCCAGCCTGCCAGAAGCTGACCTTTAAACTGAGGGCTGATCTTTACCTGGAAGGCTGCTTTCTCCTTTCGCTTCCCCCTACCCTCCACTCCCTACCCCCACTCCCACCTAGTGTCTTTTTCGCCAAACTCTCTGCCTCTCCCAGAGATTCTGGTTGGGCTAGAGGCTGAGCACCTTTGGGAACAACATTTAAGGGAATGTGAGCACAATGCAAAGTGTCTTTAAAAGCATGTTGTGATGTGCAGATTTTGTATTACCTTTTTTGTTGTAGCAACCATTTGTAAAACATTCCAAATAATTCCACAGTTCTCAAGCAGCGGTTTAATCCCTTTTTCACTTTTAAAAGATAATTTTTCAACTTCATTCATATTGCCCCCTCTCCATAGAGGAGGGAAAGAGGGAAGGGCCTGCCTTATTGAGAGCCAAACAGAGCCCAGAGAAAGACTCCACTATGGGGGGGGGGTCGTTGCTTTGTGCAGAGTACCTGCCAAACTGGAAAGGTGATTCCAGGAGGAGTTAGCCAAAAAAAAAAAGTTCAGGTTTCAGCTTTAAGGTATTTTTGGGCAATTTTTTTTTTTTTTAATCTGAAGTGACCAAATTAAAATGGTGATACTTCTCTGAGACCAAATCCTTGTCCCATCTCTATCCCCTTCTCAATGGTTCACAAAATGGATCATGTTGAAGCAACCAGTTATTTGCCTCCTTGAAGAAAGAAAATTAGGTTTTTGCCAATGATTTAGCCATATGAAATCATCTCATCGCCCTTTTCTGGGTCTGAAGCTGCTGTGTCTAAAAGTGCCATCTCATTGTGCTTCGCATCAGTTAGTGCTGGAGAAATCTTGAATAGTTTATGTACAAAACTGTTTTTAAATTTTATATTATTTTGAAACTTTGCTTCTTTGGGGTTGGGGCGCACTGGCCACCCCATCTGGCTGTGAAAGCTCTGGGCCGGCAGTGTGCTGATCTTTAAGTTTCTTTCCTTACCCAGTACCCCCCCCCCCCCCCCCCCTTATTGGTGAGGTTTCTGTGAGGTCTGTTAGGTTCACATCCTGCAGCTTCCTGGCTTAAAATGTCCTCTCCTTTGGTGTGGTCTCTTTGGGGGCCGATTGAGAGAAAGAGAAACCAATAGTACAACTATTTTGATACTGAAAATTGACAAACGTCTTTTTAAAATAAAGAACCAGTCCCTCCAACCCTCAGACCTACTCGACTTTTATTTAACTAATCCAAGTGTACTTCTTCCACAGGAACTGAGGTTTTGGTTAAAAATCAGAACTTTGTGGGTGGCAGCAACAGGACTTCAGAGTGTATGCTTTGGTAGCAGACCAAAACTGGGTTTGAAACTCAGAGATTCCCAGTTGTATGTCCTGATGTAAATCCTTGAGTTTCATCATTTAAAATAAAGATAATGTGTATCATGTAAATGTGAAGATTTGAAATAATCATGTGCGAGATCTTTTGTAGGTTACTTAATCTAACTGCATCTTCAGGGTGAGCAATACATTTTCCTTTACAACTCTTACTAGTTCTTATAAACCGTGGAATTATTAGGCTCTGTGCTGCTTAAACAACTTTAATATATGACACTGATCACATACTCCTATATATGTGTGGTTTTAGTAAATTGCCCTAAGACAGCCTTTGAGCTGATACTCTGATGGATATTTGGAGGAAACAAGTTGATTTGACAAGAAGTACTCTCAGTATTTGCATAGAGACATGCTGTGTGAGTGGGTAACTTTGAAAGTTGCTTTTGAGACACCAGTGCCTGGCGTTTCCTGCACCCTGGCGGTGAGCTGGACGTGAATCTGACATCCTAAAAATGACATAGCTTCCTTGACAATGATCAGCTACGCGTTTGTACTCAAGACTGGAAAATTTTTCCATTAATAGGCACAGACCAATGCTGAATAGAAATTACTGCCAAAAAAGAAAAAAGGTGGGTGGGGCTAGGTGCCAAATAATAAGGTGGGCAACAAGTTAAAGTGGGAGAAAAGATTTCTTAGATATGCCATCCATATTTAAGTGGGCACCCTAGATTGTGCCTAACGTTTCCATAATATCGGCTCGCTGGAACGTTTACTAAAGTGACTCCCACAATTCCCAGCCAGAAGGAGGCCCCACCTCCTGCTGACGTTTCACCTGAGGATTGGCTGGTGGAGCAGGGCGCGGCTGTAGTTGAGCAGGAACCTGAACGCAGTTAGTCGCCATGACTAGCTCTGGATCACCAGCGTCCCGAGACTTAGGGCTGTTTTTCTGCTTGCCTATACACCGCCTCCTTTTGCTGCTTCTGATTTTGCTTGTCACCCTGGCCCACAAGCTTAACGTGCCACAGGTGTTGCTACCCTTCAGCCAGCAGCCGGGCCGCGTGCCCTTTCTGCTGGAGGCACAGCGGGGCTGCTACACTTGGTGAGGGGGGGATCCCAAGGGTATGCATCCCACACCATCTAGTGAAATGGGAGGTTCACCCAATGGAAGACCCCACGGGAATGTTGTGTGCTCATTTGGTGACTTTTCTGGAGGGAGGAGGGAGGAGGGTGGAGTGTTGTTGGGTTGGAGTGGCTGATTTTCCGCATGTGGCCTAATCTCGTGTGCGAGATCTTCAGGTCATGTGTGGGGCCTTATATGAGGAATGTTCAGGGTGTGACACTGGCCTGTTCTCTGCGTGTGTGTGTGTTGGGGGTGTGCTGGGAGAGGTGGTCACTGTAGGAGCAGCTATCAGAGCAGAGCCCAGGGAAGCCCTCTGTGGGTAGCCTCCATACCTGAGGCTACCCAATATGGGGGACTTGCAAAGTAAATAACGAGTGAGGAGTTCCCAAGGCCAGAAGAAATTTATTTAGGAGCAGAGAGGCTTGGGGTATGAGAGTCCCCACTAACTAAATAAGGTGGGGTTTTCAGTGTGAAGGCATCTCAAAACAACAATGTATCGTGTCCTTAACTAAGCACTTTGGGTGTATTAACTCATTTGGTTTTCAGTCAAGTAAGTACTATCACTCCCATTCTACAGATAAGGGAACTGAAGCCCAGAGACCATGAAGTATAAATTCCTTGTAATATGAAAATATTTATTTTGGGTGAAGACGAGATCTGTTAGATTTGTTTCCTCCTTAAATGAGAGTACCCTCTTGAACTGTGAGGGCAAGAGGTACTCAACTCTGGGGGGATGACTTCCTGACTGAGGGTGGAAAGACATGATTTTTTTGTGTGGGAGGACCCAACCATAGGTTGTGTGGTTACCTAAGGTGTGAGGGAGTCTGACTGAAGTGGGTTCCAAGGTATCAGAGAGTTCATCTTTTTAAAAGAGTAGATTTCCCTTTATCAATTCCTAAGAGAAGCACTAAGTTTTGTTCAGAGTGTAAGAAGTTCATCTCCCTTTTTTTAAAGGAAGTATAGGGGAAGTATAATTGTAAGATGACCCAGTGTGATGTATTTCTTCATTGAGAAGATGATGCAAAGAATCTTTCCAGAATTGAAAGGCATTCCATCCAGCCAAAAATATTAATGATTTTTTGAGGTGGACTCATACCTCATAATTTTGGCAACTTTTCCATCTTAGATATCAGCAGCCCAGTTTCTAGGATTTAAGGAAGCTCATTTCCTCAGAGTATAAGAAAGCTACTTCTCTCATTACTGGAAACACAACATCAATCCTATTTTTACATGACAAGGGAAGAACGTTGCAATCTAATTTTAAATATTGAGGAAGAAATGAATCTTTGCCCATGGGATCACTGGGAAAACGTTCTGATCAGTCTCTCCCACTTAACTCTTGTTTCCTAAGTAATGTTTCTGTTTTGAAGAGTGTCATCTAAATACACATGGTAGTATGTAATATGGACAAACTAAAGGAATCTGTGTTCCATCAAAAGTAAAGTTTAACCCACTTATTCTTATTTCATACTCTTAAGCATTTTATTCTGACAGGCATTCCACTCATCATGATGCAGTAAGTGTTGAGCCTTTATATGAAAACAGTACCTTGTGTTCCCAGAAAGCTGTACTCACTGCTGAATCTGCCCAACCTATACGCCTAAGCAGTATTATTCTTGCTCGAGAGATAGGTATGTTGAGAGAAACACACTAAGTAACAGTAAAATAATTGTGGCATCCTATTCTGTGATCTTTCCTTTTCCTCCCTCCCTTCCTTCTTTTTATTAATTCAGCATCTGGCATGGGGCCTGATACAAAGTGGAAACTCTAGTTGTTTGAATTGTTGAAGAGAGGAAGGAATTGATTAGTGGAATTAGCTTAGGTGTTACGGTCTGAAATTGGTTTTGAATGAGGCAAGAGGCAGTAGTGTAAAGACTAGTACTTCCCAAAATGTGTTATTTGAACCAATATCATTAACATCACCCGGGAGCTCATTAGAAATGCAAATTCTTAGGCCCCCTGTCAGTTCTGCTCCATTGGAATCTCTGGTATGGCCCCAAAACAAGCTTTCTGTGAAATTCTCATGCATACTAAAATTTGGGAAGTACTGCATTAGACCAGAGCAGCTCACAAAATGCTATTTATATCCCGAATCAGAGCAGGGCTCTTTGTGTCCCTGAGTTTGGCACTTCATTGCCATATTGATAGGCCAGAAATATCTGCATGCCTTTTAAATATTTTGATAAATGTCTATGCTATATTATTAAAGAGAAGTTCAGGATGTTTGTTATACCATATTTCATATAATTGAAGATGCCATCTGTTGTAAAGCTATTTAAAAAATATGTTACTTATTTTTAGAGAGAGGGAAAGAGAGGGAGAGAAACATCAATGTGTGGTTGCCTCTCCCTCGCCCCCAACCTGGGACCTGGCCTACAACCCAGGCATGTGCCCCAACTGGGAATTGGACTGGCAACCCTTTGTTTCATAAGCCAGCACCCAATCCACTGAGCCACACCAGCCAGGGCTATAAAGCTATTTTTAATGTAGTCTAAGAAAGAAAAATATTGACAACTATGCTTTTCTTCATCTAGAATTTATTCTTTATACCTACTGAAGAACTCCTTGATTTAATTAAATAGCTGCTTTTCTTCATTTCATTTTATTTTTTCTTAGAGGGAAAGGGAGGGAGAAAGAGAAACATTGATTGGTTGCCTCTCACACTTGACCTAACTGGGGAGAGAACTGGCAACCCAGGCCTGTTCCCTGACTGGGAATCCAACCAGTGACCTTTCGCTTTGTGGGACTATGCCCAACCAACTGAGCCACACTGGTCAGGGCTAGCTGGTTATTTTTTATTATGTATCACTCTCATGCCTAATAAAAAGGAAAGTATAAATAAAATGAACTGGTTAAGATACTCCTAAAGCCACCTTAACATTTCTGCCTCATCTGAATCACTTTTTGACTGGGAATCAACATCTGTGTTTATTCCCACAACTTCTTCCTCTGTGCCACCAAGACTGTTCATGATGTGACATTTCTTAAAAGAATCAATTAAAAACAAAATCACCTAAAAGCTCTAAGTTCTGAACCCTTAAATTGGCTTTGCAATTACAGAGAGCTGATGACTTTTTGTCTTCAGCGTTGGGAAGGCTCCTAGAACATGAGTCACCTCCTTTCCTTACCATTTGGTTTCTAGGGGATAAAAATGCATCCACTATTGTCCCCCAGATTTTCTCCCCACTGCTAATTCCCATTCTACAAGTTTTGGCACTGGCCCTTTTAATGTTCAGTCACAGCTATGTCGTGACTACTGCCTGGCTGATGAAAATTGTAAGATGTCATCAGTTGTAAGATAAAATTCCAATTTCAGAGATAGTAAAATGTCAAAAAGTAAAACACTCATGGCTTAGAATCAATGAAATATTGCATGATATTCCCCAGGATGAGACTCTTTGAGGATCATATCACGCAGAGCATCTGCAATAGATAGAAGAGAATACCAAGGTCAGAAGAGGAGCATTGCTTTGGTCACATGTACTATTTTTAATGCAGTTACTCTTGACTACATGAATTTCTAATAGCAAACAATTCATTCACAATTGCTAGGAAAAATGTCAAATCGGGCTCTTAGCCTAATTTTATCTGACTTGTAAATATTCCAAAGTTAAGTATCTTTTAAATCAACTTTCACAAAATTAATATTTTGCTTTTAATACACTTGTGTACGTAGATGATGGAGCCTCCCAATGATCAATGCCAGTGTCAGTGTCCTACCAGGTGCACCTTCACCTGAGTGAGAACTGGCACACTGAAAGGGGAGGGGTTGGGGTGGAGAGGGAGGGAACATTTTGAAAGGGAAGTGCATGCCTGAAAGAAGTTGTCCATTCATGTGGCAAATATTTATTGAATTGCCTATTAATTATAAGGCATCTGTAAAGGTAAAAAGATTGAAGTACTATATTGGTATTTAGGTGCTTAGAATTTTCTTTACCTTTTTGGTAATATTGTAGTAAAGAAAAGTAGTGCCTATGATAGATGATGGATAGAGTTGAGAGACTTGAGGTGGGCATACTCAGTTTGCTAAGAGTGATGGATCTTTTCATTTTGGGGGATTTGTTTTGATTAGGCATTACCTTCATGTGGTAAAACCTTCAAAGAATATAAAAGGTTATATAGTGAAAAGTCAATTTTTCTCTAATTTCATTTCTCTAAGAGGCAACCATTTTTCTGTATTCTTCCAGACATAGTCTATAAATATATTAATATGCCTTTTGTAGTAGGAAATCTAGACTTTTGACCTTAGATTCAGGATAGTAGAGGAGTTTGGAGATAACTTTAGAAGAAAAAGCTCTCACATCTAGGGCGAAAAAAGGGTTTGGACAACTGCAGGATTTCATTGAGCTGAAATGGGGTGATCAGTACTTTTTGCACTGTGCTCAGCATATGGTTGATGTTTAATAGGTACTTATTGATTGGTTGTTTGCTGCAGTGGGTCCTAATATTATCAAGAGGAGTTGATTGGAAGCTAGGATAAATGAGAATCAGGGCAGCATGGAATATTTGTCACTTCTGCTCCCTCTTTTTTTGCCTCTGGCTCTGAATTTCTTTGGTTCTCATCCCGAGTTCATTATCTTTTCTTTTCTCCTTCCTTATTTATCTTCCTAGATTAACTCTTCTCTCTATCTCATTCCTTTTTCTTTCTTTATCACCTCACTTCTGTATGGACCTGAAGTAATATGGACATGTAAATAAGAATATTCATTATATTACTTAATAAATGTTTCTTTTAAAGTAGTTAAATCAGATGTTTCATATTTCTCCTAATCACTCTCAATTTACTTGTAATTATCCAAGATAATTTTTTTCTTTTCTTTTTTAAAGATTTTATTTATTTACTTTCAGAAAGAGGGGAAGTGAGGGACAAAGAAAGGGAGAGAAATACCAATGTGTGCTTGCTCCCCATTTGGGGAAATGGGGACCGGGCCATCAACCCAGGCATGTGCCGGGACTGGGAATTGAACTGGCAACCCTTTGGTTCACAGGCCAGCACTCAGTCCACTGAGCCACACCAGCCAGGGCATTCAAGGTAATTTTTTTCTTTATGATCAGTGGCCCTGTATTGAAAAGCTTTCTGCTATTGAAGTAGTCAGGTAAACAGGCATTGTTGCACAACGCTTTTCATATTTTATGTGAGGTCATAGCTGCTTCCAGTCTGTCACTTCCCTACATATTTCTCCACAGAAGAAAGGAATTTAATTCCCCATTTAATTAGTGCTAGATTCTCCAGTGCCTAGTTATATTACCTAAGCTCACCCTTTCTTCTTTTGTCATCCTTGGAATACTTCCTTAATGGTATATTCTACCAGCAGATCCTGTGAGATTTCTTCTCTTGGTTCTTGTCCATATGGCATATATTTTGATCTTCAATTATTTTAACTTAAGGTTCTGTTCTTCAGGTGAATGTTGATTAAGAGAATATCAATTTAAAATATTAAACATTTTATTTTAAAATCATTCTAGACTTGCAGACGAGAAACAGATAGTACAAGTTCCCATATACTCTTCACCCAATTTCCCCTAATGATCCACTGATGTCCCTTCTCCCACTCTAGGAGTTGATCCAAGGCACCACATTACTGAAGTAAGTTGTTATGCTTCCTTTGTCCCCTTTGATCTGTGACAGTTTCCCAGTCTTTCTTTGTCTTCATGACCTTAACATTTAATGTCTCTCAGTTTGGGTTTGTCTGGTACCTTCTCATGATTAGACTGGGTAATAGATTTTTAGGAAGAAAACCACAGAAGTGAAGAGCCCTTCTCATTGCATTATATTAGGGGGTACATGATATCGATAGTGAACACTTGCTTAAGGTTGTGTCTCTCAGGTTTCTCCACTGTAAAATTACCATTTTTCTCTTTCCATATGCTATTCATTTAAAAAAAAAAATTCTCCAAGGGCCCTGACTAGTGTGGCTCAGTGGGTTGGGCTTCATCCTGCAAAACTTCGAGGGAAAGGTCACTGATTCCCAGTCAGGGCACATGCCTGGGCTGCAGGCCACATCCCCAGTTGGGGCTTGCAAGAGGCAAACAATCAATGTCTCTCACACACTGATATTTCTCCTTCCCTTCCTCTCTAAAAATAAATAAATAAAATCTTTTTTTTTTTTAATAACCATGAAGTTCAGCCTACATTCAAAGGAAGTGAAATTAAGCTTCAGCTCCTAGAGTGAGAAATGTCAAAGGATTTGTGGATATATATTAAAACTACCACAGGAGTTAAAAAATACATATTTGGGAGAGACACTTTGATATATCCTGTGTCTTTTTAAAGTTTCACCCACCAAGTTTAGCATTTATCCATGCATCTTGTCTGTAGCAATTATTACTATGGTGTTTAAAGGTGATTTTCCATTTCCGTCATTCTTACTATACTTATTAATGACATTCTTCTGTAAGAAAGATGACTTTCAAATAACTTCTCAATTATTCATCCATTCATTATACAAGTATGGACTTGTGGGTATTTGTTTTATTTTATTTTTTTAAAGATTTTATTTATTTACTTTTTTAGAGAGGGGGGAAGGGAGGGAGAAAGCTAGGGAGAGAATCATCAATGTATGAGATACATGGTTGCCTCTCACACACCCCTAACTGTGGACCTGTCTGGCAACCTAGGCAATATGCCCTGACTGGGAATCTAACCATGAGCTGTTGGTTCACAGGATGGTGCTTAATTCACTGAGCCACAACAGCCAGGGCTAATTTTTTGTTTATAATTCCATATCATCATAATATATTTTGTTATTCCAGTTTTCCTAGTTTTGGCTTTTGGGAGCTCTTTCAGGTTGGCCCCTGTGTCCTTTGGGTTTGCCCCTGTCTTAATTAATTAATTAACTGGTTGATTGATTGATTGATTCATTCATTCATTCATTCACTTTAGTACTTTCTTACTTTTTAGCATTACAAAATGAGCCAGGCCCATCTTGTGTTTTCCCTGCCCATCCTTTTCCTCAAGGAATCTTCGTTCTTTTTGTTAGAGAACTATATTTAGAAGCCAAAATCTGGTTGGTAGTGCGCTTGTTGCTACTGGAGTGTCACTGCTTCTAGGCCCTCAGCAGACAGTGCTAGGAAACACATGTATGTTTACTAACCCATGTATATACACAAATTTATACTTCTGTGTCTGTCTACATATATATTAAAATAAACATGAGCTCACACAGATTTCTTTGGTTCCAATCCTTCACCACAGGGTAGCTTCTTTCTCCAACATTGAGAAACCAGACACTCATTTCCTACACTGTATTTGTTGAACCCTAGTATAAATGTAAAGTAGTTTCAGGATAATTAATTCAACTTTTATATTTCTTGTGAAAGAAAGTATAGCTTTTACTGAAATAACATTCTGATGCGGTTTATCCTTTTTTGAGAGGGTATTTACCCGTATGACAGCTGGGGATAGAGTTTACCCCTGATGTCCATTAGTAATTTGGGGTATTGCAATGGTAGTTATTTTGCTTTTTGTTTCTTAAAGATGAAACTAAACCTAAAAATGTATAGTTAAAACAGCAGGAAGAGGTGGCTATGTAGATGGTTCTCTGACACATGGTAAGTGTAATAGGAGGGAATATTGTTAAAAGATATTTTATAACAACCCTAGCTGCTTAGTCAGTTGGTTGGAGCGTCATCCAAATGTGCTAAGGTTGTGAGTTCACTTCCTGGTCAGGGCAAATACAAGAATCAACCAATGAATGCATAAATAAGTGAAAACCAAATTGATATTTCTCTTTTTCTCTCTTTGTCTCTCTCCCTCCTTCCCTCTCTGCCTTCCCTCCCTGCCTCTCTCATATCAATAAATGAGAAAATTTAAAACAAGATAGAACAAAATTTTTATTTTGCCCTTCTTTCATTCTGTACTGTTTGAAATAGGGCTAGATTGACTCGAACTCTTGTTTCATCTAATGCATGGTTCCCAGGCTTTTTAATCTCATGGTCCAGAGGAGGAAAAATTGAAAAAGTAGGAATTCTTTTGGCAGGACTAACATATGGTTGTTACCATTTTCCTAAACACATTTTTTAAATCTATTAACATAATTTCATAAAAAAAACATTTGGCCTGACTGGTATGGCTCAGTGGATTGAGTGCCAGTCTGCAAACCAAAGGGTTACCAGTTTGACTTCTAGACAGGACACATGCCTGGGTTGCAGGCCAGGTCCCCAGTAGAGGGTGCGCTAGAGGCAACCACACATTGATGTTTCTCTGCATCTCTCTTTCCCTCCTTTCCCTTCTGTCTATACATACATACATACATTTTAAAAAAGAGAAAAAGAAAAACATTTTAATACTTCAAAAGCAAGAATGTGGGGTGGGAGGAAAAGGCAGAAAACTATACTTGAAAAACAATAAAAAAACTGTAATAAAGTAAGAATGTAAGAATAAAATAGAGTCCTTTAAAGTGAACAAATTTAATTACTTGCTATTTTAAAATTACTTTTTTCATTTTCCCATGGATGAATGAAAACATCATGGTAGATCACTGTTTGGAAGCCACTGTTCTGGTGTCTCTTATTACAGACAGAAGCTCTTATATTTTGTCATTATGCTGTTTTCTTCCTCAGGGTGAAAGCAACTGTTTCAGCCTTTCTTTTTCATAATATTTAGAATAAGCTTCTGAATGTTTAAGACATTTAATAGATTCATGACCTGTTGAATTAAATTATCAGTTTTTGGGTTCATCGTAGTGACTGACCATGAGCTGCACTGTGATGTTAAGGTTGATGTGATAAACAGCATTGAAATTATATCTCGAACTCGGGAACTCTATGTAGATGATTCACCCCTGGAACTGATGGTGAGGGCATTGGATGCTGAAGGTAAAGAACTTCATAGGATTCAACAAAATTACTTAAAATAAAATAATACTCCTTTGTGTCTAGTACTTGGAAACAGAAGCTTGAGACATAAAAGCAGGTTTGAAATAATATTTATTTTCTCATATGTAGCCTATTACATTAATAATTCTGAGTATGGTTCAGTGTGTTAGCTAATACTTTCATAATTTTTCCTGCTATATTTAATTATTGGTTATCATGGAAGTTTTCTTGAATATCCAAATTCTGCCACTTAGCTTCTGCTGATGGTCCCTACATCAGCAATTAAGAACATTTTCTGATATTTATTGCTAGCTTTGTTTTGATCAGTCCATTTTTTTAAAGATTTTATTTGTTTATTTTAGACAGAGGGGAAGGGAGGGAGAAAGAGGAGAGAAACATCAATGTGTGGTTGCCTTGTGCACCCCCTACTGGGGACCTGGCCTGCAACCCAGGCATGTGCCCTGACTGGGAATCGAACTGGTGACCCTTTGGTTTGCAGGGCAGTGCTCGATCCACTGAGCTGCACCAGCCAGGGCTGATCAGTCCATTTTCTATTGGCCAGGAGAATAAAATGCAAACCTGTAAAAAAGTTTTATAATGTTAAATTTGTCTTTCTTAAGCCTGATTTTATATTGCTTTTAATCTACTGTGCTAACATAACATATTTAAAACATACAAAGTTATTGCCTCTTTTTAAACTACTCAGTAAAGAATATATATTTTTAAATCTGAAAAATGAATGTATTAAAATATTCTAGTATCTCAATTTTATAAAATCTTTCTTGAACGGACCAGAATTTAGGGATGCTTGTAAACCCTGAGGCAGGTGGCCTTTGTGTAAAAGGAAACAGAAAAAGTGGCATAATTTTTGTCAACCAAAGTTAATCATCTTGAGTCCCTTTTCCTTTCAGAAAGTTTGTGCGGCAATAGCACTTACATTGTTTATGTAGGGATCTTCCTGGTATAAGTATTTTAATTAATTAATGACAAGTGTTTCTATTTGTTAAAGAAAGGGCCCTAGAATAATTTTCCATTTAGGTTTTCCTTTCTAGTTAAAGATGCCTGAATGTTTTGGAGTATGTAATTCTGTCTTGTCTGTTATTGACTTGCTCTACAGGAAATACTTTTAGTAGTTTGGCAGGCATGATGTTTGAATGGCGCATTGCCCAGGATAACGAGTCATCAGGAGAACTGTCTAGCAAAATCAGGTAACGCTGAAACCTAACCTAAACCATCCGACTCTGAAGGAGACATCAGCCTTTGCAGCACACTGAACAGCAACCATTTGTGGGGGCTTTGATAACCCTGTTGTCTAGACTTTTTTTGGAATGTACACATTTACCGGGGGAAATGTCTTAGATATATATAGCAGGATATAGGATATAGTATGCTATGGATATAGGTAAGTTTATGATAGTTTATTTTATACTACTGCAAAGCAGTTCATGCACTCAGGACTATGCAATTATTTGAGTCAGGTATATCTTGGGGCCATTTTGTTGTTCAAGTTATCTGCACATGCTGAAGTACAGTAAGTTGGAAATAGTATGAAATTTTGTCTTCAGTATCAAGAAATAGCTCTCAGACAATTCAAGTTTTGGTCTAGCAACAGTTTTAGCCAGAGGTACATTAAATACTTTTCTTCAGTCTAGTGCTTGTGAAAAACAAATTTTAAAACTTTTTACACTATATAGACATTGAAGAGACTATGTTTAAAGTTGCTTAGTGCCTTTTGGAAGAAGCCTGATTGACTGTTTGCTTCCAATCGAAAGCAAACAATAAGCAAACTTATTTTAAATCTCTGCAGGATTCTAAAATACTCTGAAGCAGAATATTCTCCCCCAGCGTATATAACTGAGATGGAAAAAGAAGGGAAACAAGGAGATGTAATTTTAGTGTCTGGGATTAGAACTGGTGCAGCTGTTGTAAAAGTTCGAATATATGAATCATTTTATAAGGTAAAAAGTTTATCTATACACTTTCATTTACTAGTCTTGCCTATATGAAATATAGTTTCTTATGTTTATCTATCGTAGAAGCTTTCTAACCTGATATAATTCAGGCCAATAGTTGTTCAATTAAAAAAGCTTTTTGAGGAGGGGAAACATAAAAAAAAAGCCTTTACATTTCATTCCCTAATTACAAATTCAGCTGTTGTTTTTTTTATTAAAACACATAACTGCATTTTATCCACCAATCCTTTGGGGTACATCCAAGACCTTTCTTTGACCATGAGTTCACTGGTTAGAAATATACATACTCTTTCTTGCATAAATAGTTTCTAGTTTCTTTATGTTTTTATTTTCATTTTATTTTATAGTCAAGTGAAAAATTAGACATGTGTGAAGCAATTTAAGTACATAGTTTTATATTCTTCAAAGATTTTTACGTTTCTCGCCTATACCTAATTTGGTAACAGCACATTTTAGCAACTTTCTTTTTTTAGTAGGATTTCTTTTTCTTTTTTAAAGTTATACTTTATTGATTATGCTATTACAGTTGTCCCATTTTTTTCCCCTTTGCCCTTCTCCACCCAGCAACCCCCACTCCCTCAGGCAATCCTCCCACCATTGTTCATGCCAATATGTCATGTGATAGGTTCTTGGGTTACTCAATTCCCTATACTGTACTTTATGTCCCCATGGCTATTCTGTAACTACCTATTTGTACTACTTTTTTTCTTACTATTTGTACTTCTTTTTTTTTAAGATTTTATTTATTTATTTTTAGAAAGGGAAGGGAGGGAGACAGAGAGAGAGAGAGAGAGAGAGAGATTGAGAGAGAAACACATCAATGTGTGGTTGCTGGGGGTCATGGCCTGCAACCCAGGCACGTACTCTGACTGGGAATCGAACCTGCGACACTACTATTTGTACTTCTTAATCCCCTCACCTCTTCAGCCGTTCCCCCACATCCCCTCCCACCTGGCAATCATCAAAATGCTCTCTGTACCCATGATACCATCTGTTCTTGTTTGCTTAATTAGATTCAATTGTTGATAGATATGTACTTCTTACCATTTTATTGTTCATAGTTTTGATCTTTTCCTTAAATAAGTTCCTTTAACATTTCATATAATAATGGTTTGATGATGATGAACTCCTTTAGTTTTTTTGTCTGGGTAGCTCTTCATCTGCCCTTCCATTCTAAATGATAGCTTTGCTTGATAGAGAGCAGTCTTGGCTGTGAGTCTCCACTTTTCATGGCTTTGAATATTTCATCCCAATCCCTTCTAGCCTGCAAAGTTTCTTTAGAGAAATCAGCTAACAGTTTTATGGAAACTCCCCTGTGAGTAACTAACTGCTTTTCTCTTTCTACTTTTAAGATTCTCTCTTTATCTTTAACCATTAGCATTTTAATTATGATGTGTCTTGGAGTGGGCGTCTTTGCATCTATCTTGTTTGGGACTCTCTGTGCTTCCTGGACTTGCATGTCTAATTCCTTCACCAAATCAGAGAAGTCTTCATTCATTATTTTTTCAAATAGAGTTCCAATTTCTTGCTCTTTTATTCTTCTGGCACCCCTATGATGTGAATGTTGGAACACTTGAAGTTGTCCCAGAGGCTGCTTATACTATCCTCATTTTTTGTATTCTTTTTTTCTTCTTGTTTTTTTTTTTAAGATTTTATTTATTTATTTTTAGAGATATGGGAAGGGAGGGAAAAAGAAAGGGAGAGAAATATCAATGTGTGGTTGCCTCTGATGCACCCCATACTGGGGACCTGGCCTGCAATCCAGGCATGTGCCCTGACTGGGAATCAAACTGGTGACCCTTTGGTTTACAGGCTAGTGCTCAATCCACTGAGCCACCAGCCAGGGCTCTTCTTGTTGTTCTGATCCATTGTTTTTGGTTCCTTATGTTTCAAATCATCGATTTGATTCTTGACTTCATACACTCTACTGTGGTTTCCCTGTAAATTATTCTTTGTTTCAATTAGTGTATCCCTTGCTTCTTACTAGATCTTTTTTATGTTCTTGAGCTCCTCACTGAGTTCCTTCAGCATCCTTATAATCAGTGTTTTGAATTCTGCATCTGATAGATTGCTTACCTCCATTTTGCTTAGTTCTTTTTCTGGAGTTCTGATCTGTTCTTTCATTTGTGACATGTTTCTTTGTCTCCTTATTTTGGCAGCCTCTCCATGTTTGTTTTTTTATATTACATAAAGTTTCTGTGACTCCCTGTTTTGGTAGTGTGGCCTAATGTAGTAGGTGTCCTGTAGGGTCCAGTGGCACAGTCCCCTCTATCACCCAAGCTGGGTACTCAAGGTGCACCCTTCATGTGGGCTGAATACACCCTCCTCTCGTAGTTGAGCCTTGGTTGCTGTTGTCAGGTCATTGGGAGGGATTTACCCAGCCTAGTCAGCTGCAAGGACTGGCTGTGACCACTGACCGCCAACCTCTACCCTCCATGGAGGATCAGCTGTTTGGGGTCAGGGTGGTGGTTCTCCAACATGGTCTGTAGTTGTCCACTGGGTGCACAGGATCCAGGGTTTCCCAGGTGGTGCAGGCCATGGTCATCCCCCACCTGTGTTTTGCTGAGGCCACCCTGCCTGAGCTACAAAGCAATCTGAGATGGCTGCTACTTGTGCTGGGCTTGGAGATTCCCAGGTCGAGCCAAGTTGTGAATCTAGGCTGGCTGTTGCTAGTGCTGGACCTGGGGCCACTTTGCAAGAGGTATGGGGGCTGGGGGCTCACTGAGGCTGGCTGTTGCTCATTTGATAGGATTTAGGATTTGTGAAGCATGAGCCAAGACCAGCCATTCATATGGAAAAGCAGTTTGGGTGGGCCTATAAGTAGGGTGGAATGGAATCTCTGGGGGTCTCCAGGGCAGGGCAAACAGTGTTAGTCAGGTTGATGGAGTCTCAGGTATGACACCAGCCTGCCAGCTCTGTGGTTCCAGTTAGGGAGGATTCAGAAAAGGGACAATGGCCTCAGCCTGCTGTTCTGTCTGGGAGAAAGCTGGTCCCTAGCTCTTGCCTTGATGCCAGACACTTCAGTTTCTCCTTGTATGCTACTGGTGCCTTTCAAGCTACTGTCCTGGTGTTGGAGCTCAGAGGGAGTGAGTCTGAGTAGGTCTTTGTGTGGAAATCTTTAAGAAGAACTGTTTGGTACTCCAGAAGTTTCTTCCACCAACTCAATTCCTGCTGGTTTTTGCAGCCAGAAGATATGGGGACTTATCTTCCTGGCTCTGGAGCCCTGGACTGGGAGACCTGGTATGAGTCTGGGGCTCCTTGGTCCTGAGATATCCTTCTTGAGCTTTTATCTACCACACTTGGATATGGGTTCCACATCTCCGCCTCTCCTACCGGTTTGGATGGATGTGGTTTCTTTAATTCTGTAGCTGTCACACTTCCATTCAGCTGGATTTCTGATGGTTCTGAGTGATGGTTGTTCTATATTTTAGTTTTAATTTTTATGTGGTTGTGCGAGGAGGCAAACCGTGTTTACCTATGCCACTGTCTTGACTGGAAGTATCTTTTCGTAGGGCAGGTTGCTTTTAACTTTTCAAAACGTTTAAATTTTTTGTAGAAACAACTGCTCTATTTTTGCATTCATGGTTTATTTAAATGTAATTATAATTAAAAGTGCAACTGGCATAAATCTGGGAAAAAATAAATGTCTTTGGGCAGCATTTAATGGAAGTGGCAGGAACACAAGTACGTGGACACCCTAGAGAGCAGCCTGCTGTTCTTCTAGACACAAGAGCAGCCTTCACAGGAATCAAAATGTTCAACAGGGGATAGAGGGTAACTTAATCTGGAAAGTCAGTTGGAGTTTGGTTAAAAGAATTTCTGGTGTAACAGTCCAGTCTTACCTTTTCTCATTTCAGCATACTTGCCTTTTTATCTACCTACTCTTCTCCTTTAGAAGGCTCATCATTTTTTTAGTCTTAGTTTGAGTGACTTAGAAAGCTAATATAGTATTAAGATTTATGATCACTTTTTAAGGCTAACTCAAATTATGATTTGTGATTAGGAAAGCATTTTTTAAATCTTTATAAAATATTTTATTCCTTTCTTTTAGAGAACGGAAGGGAGGGAAAAAGGAGGGAGAGAAATATCAATGTGTGGTTGCTTCTCATATACCCTCTACTGGGGACCTGGTCCATAACCCAGGCATGTACCCTAGACTGGGAATTGAACTGGCGACTCTTTGATTTTCAGGCCAGCACTCAATCCACTGAGCCTCACCAGCCGCTGCTCTTTTTAAAATATTTAAAAAGAAACTTACAAGAAGTAAATTTTTAACAAGGAAAATGGCCTTAAGGATTTTGCCTCAAGTTTGGAAACTTTGTTTTTTTTCCTTCCTCTTTTAGAAGAAAGTGGCAGCAGCCTTGATACGTCTGCTTGTTTTGGAGAATGTATTTCTTATACCATCCCATGATATTTATCTCTTAGTAGGAGCATATATTAAATACCGAGTTGCAAAAATGGTTCAGGGAAGAGTGACAGGTAACGTGATTTGTCTTTTTCTAAGACTAACATTTCCCAAATCCTTCCTACTGACAAGAGAAGCAACTCCATATTATGTATGCAAATGTTTTCAGATTTTGTGATAAAGGATTCCCTGATTGCTATACTAGAACTGATATTGGACAGAGATAGTCCCCATAGCTTCAGTGACCACAGGCATCTGAATTCTCTATTAACACAACAACCAAAAACTTACTAGCTTCTGTAAGGCAAATGAAGAAATTTTACCCAAGGGACTTGAATGATCTTTGCAAAAGTTGTTTCTTGAGAAATGCAGTTTATTAATTAAAGACTTAATACTCTATTGACCCCAAAAGTGCTATTGAGTTTATAAAATGTGCATTGACTCCATTAACATTAATCTTTTTCTAACTTGCCTAGTGGGGATTTCTGCTACTCTCAGTTCACTGAAAGGAAGAATACAAGCGATATCAACAATGAACTCATACAGTAACCGCCCCCACCCCCAATGGCTACATGTAGAAATTCATCATAGTGGGAAGGAAATTAGAAGCAGATTATACTCTTCTCTAGGCCTGCTTCCTGATTCTCCTTGTATAATGCAACAATATTCTATTGTCTGTTGGAATGGCTGCTCTCATATTTATGTTTCTTGCGTGTCTTACAGAGGTGGAATTTCCCCTGGAACATTATACACTGGAATTGCAAGACCATAAAGTTGCATATAATGAGTCTCTTTCTGGTAAAGTGGCTTTCCTGGATGAGAAGACAGTGGTGGTGACTGCCACCCAGCTGGGCCAAACTAATCTGATCTTTGTCCATAAAAGTATCCTTTGTTCGAGTCTTGGCTGCCAGTCTACCTTTCCCTGAGCATGCTAGACATGCTCCTTGGAAAAACAATTTGTTGAATGATTATAATGCTACTACATTTATTTTCTATATGTGTTATTTTTAACAAAGAACTATAAATGATTATTGTCATAATTTCTAACAAAGTGTAGGTAGAGAAAAGAGTAGTTGTGAACTTGGGGCCTGCTGACTTAGTGCTTATTTGCAACCTCAGTCAAATTATGAGACTCGGAAAATCAGAATTTGGAGGAACTTGTGTGAATTTTATTAATTTTTCCTTACTATTTTTACATGAATAATTGAGAAAAGATGGTTAATTAATATTTATATCAGTTGAATTGAGAGTAATTTTTAAAAATTTACTCAACCTGCTGTGTAAGGGTATAACAAAGAGGCATACATAGAGCTCTATTATAGTTGATGGAAACAAAGCAGAATGAATGTTTAAATTCTCAGAAAATGGACACATTTGGATTCCATATCTCAGTGTTTGATTTTGAAATATTTCTAATTTTTAATATTTGTATCTGAAAGAAAAAAGTGTGTATTTATTTACTTTTAGAGAAAGGAGAAGGGAGGGAAAAAGAGAAGGAGAGAAAGTGGCCCCAACCCGGGACCTGGCCTGCAACCCAGGCATGTGCCCTTGTCTGGGAATTGAACCAGCAACTCCTTGCAAGCCAGCACTCAATCCACTAAGCTATACCAGCGAGGGCTGAAAGAAGTTAATTTATTCAGCAAATATTTTATCCCTACTATATGTAGAACATCATTCTAAGCTCTAGGGATACAGACTATTTTACTCAGGGTAGTTAGGGGAGTCCTCTTTGATAAGGTGGCATTGGAACAATGAGCCATTCAGATATCTGGGTGCAAGAGCCCCAGAAAGAGGAAGTAAAAATTGCAAAGGTTCTGAAGCAGGGGCATGTTTGGCATGTTTAAAGAAGAGCAAGGAAGACACTGAGCCTGAAGTGCAGAGAGCCTGGGGAAAGTAGTAGCAGGTGAACTAGAGGAGGGGAAGGAGTAAATTATGTAGGGTCTAGTAGGCTCACTCAGAGTTAGAACCCATCAGACTTGAAAGATACAGTATTTCTTCTAGAATAGTGTTAATTAGCTGTTTATATTATTTGTCTGAAAAATATTAAGGAAGGTGTTTGAGCCAAAGTGGTTTGTTCTCTAGTCATTTTAAGGTGCCTAGAATATTAGTAAGTACAGTAAGACCTACAAAACAAAGTCATTAATATTACTGAGCCCCAAAGGCTCAGTAATATTAATGACTTTGAAGAGCCCCACTTCTCTGAATTTCCCAGGCAGACTTGCAAGATCCTTTTTTAAAATTTTTAGTTTATATTTATTTATTCCAAAGTAGTAAATGTTCAAATACATTATATTTATCTATTTATGTGTTTCTGGAGGACATGGATGGTGATTATTTGTGATTTGTTCCAGCACCTGGCTTAGGGTGGCTGGTGGTACTATTCATAAAGATGGGTGGTATAGGAGAAGGAACAGGTTTCAAGGAAAAGAAAACTACGGTAGTTCAGTTATTTTGCATGTTAACTTGAATTATCTGCATGACATTCAAGTAGAATTTTTACTAGATCTGGAGGAGAAAAATTCAGAATGAAGATAGATATTTGAAATTTAATTAGTTTATAGATAGGTGATAGGTGAAGCTGTTGTTGTGGACAGAATCATCTGGTGAGGGTTATAGAGTGGGAAGAGAAGAGGGCCAAAGACAAAACTGTCCCATACCAGCTTTTACGGTTCACATGGAAGAAGAGTTCCTCTTCTTGGAGGAGGCCAAGAAAGAATGTTTACAAAGTAATAGGAGAACCAGGAGAGAGGAGCTTCATGGTAACCAAGTGAAAAAAAATTACAGAGAATGTTCCTCAAGTGAAATAGGTAGAGATAAAGACCGAGATAAAGATAGAGACTGTAGTACTAGGAAGTCTCGGCTTAATTTGTCAATTAAAAACAGCTTGACTTTGAAAAGGAGGAGATAAACAAGGTAGAAGTTTTACAAAGACATGAGAACTATAGGGTAGGGGAAACTTGAACATGTCTGTAAGTTAAAGAGAGAGAGAGATGGCAGAGATACGAGAGAAAAGTGCAACATTTCTGAGGGGCAAGAGAAAATGAGATTCAGAGTAGGTGGAAGGATTAGATGGAAGAAAGATGTTTTATTTTGATAACAAAGAAATGAATTGGTTTAGGGACCTATCGAGATCTGTTTCCTCATTCTGTAAAATGAAAGGAATGTTGTATTTCTGGATTTCTTCTACTCTTATATGTTATGAATATTGTATTAGAGTATCTAATCAGAATCAACTCTAGATTGGTACAGAGTTGCTTATACAGTCTGTCAAAGATTTGCTTTAGCCCTAGTTGGTGTGGCTCAGTGGATTGAGTACCTGCTGGTGAACCAAAGAATCGCCAGCTTGATGCCCAGTTAGGACACATGCCTGGGCTGCAGAACAGGTCCCCAGTGGGGGGCACACAAGAGGCAACCACACATTGATGTTTCTCTCCCTCTTTCTCCCTCTCTTTCCCTCTCTAAAAATAAATAAATAAGATCTTTAAAAAATATATAAAAATTTTTAAAGACTTGCTTTAATAAGTAGATAAAAAATTAAATAGATAAAAGTAATCTTTAATTAACATATCAGTTGTATGTATATCTGCAGCTCCTCTAGAGTACTGAGGCAGCTTTAAAAGTTTGATCCCTTAAGTAGATTAAATATTTTATTTCCACTGTCACTATAGATAATGTAGTGCTAAATTGTAGCTTAGTGCATGACTGAATTAATACAACACCTAAATTAGTGTACTTGGAATTAATGACTATTTTCTGTTCAGTCATCTCAGTTATATATTTTTCAGAGCAGAAATAACTTCTTAGCTTTTTTGTGTTTTTTTTTCAGAAGGTCTCATTTTTTAAATTTTTAAATCTTTTATTGTTTGTGCTATTACAGCTGTTTTTTTAGCTTTTGGATTCAGTATATTTTGAAAGGGAAATATGTTCCTAATTAGATCTGTATATATGGATAGCAGAATAAATTTGTATTTCTGCTAGAACTTAACTGAAGGGAATAATGGGTAGGATGATGTATAAGTGACACCGTAGTAACTCTGGTGACAAAGAGAAAACATTTTGGTATTAAAGATTTGCTGCAGATAACAGAAAATCAATTAGTGATTTTTTAAAACAGCCTACAGAGCACAAGGCTAGATGGCAAGTCATGCCTCACCTTACTCCTCCATCTACAGTGTTCATCCCTTCAGCCAGCGCCATGCCACCTTGTCCTGCTTTCTACTATGGGCTCCTGGGTGAGCGTTTATTTGGAGAAAGGGTTCTGCAGCTAAATGAATATTAAAAGCACAGAGCATGACCTTTTTTCTCTCACTCCATCTTCCTCGAATTTGAAATTCAACAATACTTGATTCCAGTGATTACTGAGTCCCTCAGATTTTTCTCAGAAGTGTACAAGTTTTTGCTTTTTTTTTTCATTTTTAAAGATTTTATTTATTTATTTTTAGACAGAGGGGAAGGAAGGGAGAAAGAGAGGGAGAGAAACATTAGTGTGTGGCCGCCTCCCTCGTGCCTCCCACTGGGGACCCGGCCCGTAACCCAGGTATGTGCCCTGACTGAGAATTGAACCGGTAACCCTTTGCCTCGCAGTGCGAAGCTCAGTCCACTGAACCACACCAGCTGGGGCAGTTTGTGCTTTTCAAAGGATAGTAAAAGATAGAATTGTGTTGGTGGGTTTATTTTTTTCCTTTGGTAGCTCATGTGTTCTTTTCATCCAACTCTGGCTCATGTGATTTCCTTAAGCAAAAATTAAGATGTCCATATGCGATCTGTGTCTGGACTTCCAAACTGCACCATATATGTTGTAGAGCCTGGATTTTTAGGTACTTTTAGATAATGATTTTCTGAAGGCTAAATAGCTAAAGCAAATGCATTAAAAGCTTCAATGCTTCTTTAACCTTCATTTTGAGACCTAATTAACTTCAACTTCAACGTTACTTTGACATGTTTTCACACATTGTTCTGGTTATATGCCATCTGCAAGAGTGAAGCTTCTTGAAACAGATTGTAGAAAAATATAAAGATTCATGTAATAAAATGTTGGGTTAGGAAAAGAGATTTTATACATATAAAAGAATCTGAATATCTTTAGACCATTTAATACAATTTGACTGAAAATAGCTAAAATCTCTCTTGACACATTATGAATGGACACAATTGTGGTTTGTTTTTATGTACAGATATAACTGAGAGTATTTCTTTGTACCTGAGCTCAGTTAAGCCAAGGATCTTTGGAACCCCAAATTATTATACAATTTGATAGAATGAAGTACAGGATTTACTTCGGAAACTCTCCTAATATTTTTGGTTTTGATTTGTGTATAGGTTTCATAGTGCAGCCTGGAGACCGATGGAGTCTAGAGGTGGGACAGGTGTATGTTGTCACAGTAGAAGTGTTTGATAAAAGCAGCACAAAGGTCTACATTTCAGACGTGAGTCTCTCTGTGTTTTTTCTAGCTCCTTGTACAGATAACTCTTTGAGTGAGTATTTGTGTGTGTGGGTGCGTGTGGGTGGCTAGGGAGGCAGTTTTTTCTTTTGCTTACAGATTTTACCTTTGGAAATGCAAGTTACTACATTATTATTATTGTTGTTGTTGTTGTTGTTGTTGTTAAATAGTTCTGTCCTTGAGGAATGCCAGCTGGAACTAACAGACAGGATTTGGTCAGAGCTATAGAGAACTGCAGGGAGCATAGTGATAACGCTTAGGAGGGTACCCTCATACTGCAGCTGCATTCAGAGATGGTTACCACAGTTTCACAGTGATGAGAGCAGTACTGTGAACATCACATGTGAAGTTACTACTCACTCTTCAGGATCCTTTTTTTTCCCCCCAGAGAACTGTGAGATTATGGAATGGCAAAAACCACATTAACATTTATCTAAGGTTTGACTCTCTATTTCTGATTACTTGCCATTAACAGGTCTTTCAAAAACTGGTACCAGTTTAAAATTGCATCTTTCAAACTTAGAATTTCATGAGAGAGGGCAAAGATTTTGTATTTATTTATTTATTTATCCCCAGAATGCATAGCTACACTTTCTCTCTTGAATGCTTTGGGATTAAGATGGCTTTAGGGAAAAAACATTTCTTCAGGTTTGTGTTGCTGTTGGGCTGATTTTCAGAACATGAGGATTATGTGCCAGTTCCTACCGGAGTTCTTTGAAGAGCAGCTAACTTCTGTGAATGGATCTTACCACGTAGTGAAAGCCCTGAAAGATGGGGTTGTGGTGATAAATGCATCCCTGACTTCCATCATTCACCAGGTAGGAGCTAACAGGATTGTCTTTTAATTCTGAGAACACGGATGTGGGAGAGGGGAAAAATTTCTGAGAACACTGATGAGGCTTTCTGATTTTTTTTTCTGTAAAAAACTAGGGTGGGCGAGGCTTTCTGGTTCTTGATTTGGAAGCAGATACATGGCATATCCCACCTTTACCTTCCACATAAATAGAAAACTGACAAACACCACACTCAGCTGTTTACACCTCTATCAGTTTTCTGTTCCAGTCTTTGTTATTGTGCATATCTGCATTGGTCACTGTGTATTTATACCATTTGAAGTTCCTTTAAATAGTTATTTCATACGTACAGGTGTCATCAGGTCCACATAGAGTATTATCTATTCTAAAAGCCAGAGGATTAATCTGCCAATTTAATTAACTATTCCTCCCACATTGAACTTTTGCATTATTTCCAGTCTCTTACTATTGTAAATGGCATAGCAGTATTTTTGTATAACTTTTTCCTTTTGGTTGATTTTCATGTTATATATATATAACATGATTATGTATTTTCATGTTATATATATATATATATATATATAGTATATATATATATATATATATATGCCTCTAAAATGTATAAGTACCTGAGTTTTAAAAGCCTGTCAAATTTGTTTCCCTCTCTTAAACCTATTTTTTTCCAGTTATTCTTTTACCTGTTGTTTAAGACAAAAAAAATCCTGCCACCCATGACTCTGCCTTCTTTCTCACCTTCTACATTCAGTACATAAGTGAACCCTATGTCTTACAAATGTCTCTCAAACACATTTCTTACTGTCCCCCCTACAGTCTTTCACCTGGCCTTTCACAGTTGCTTTTTATCTGGTATTTTATCTGGTATTTCTACGTCCAATATTGCCCCTAGAATGATATTCCCAAAATTAAAAAAAAATCATTATGTATTTACTGTTTCAATTCCTTTGGTGGCTTCCCATTGATTTTAGGTAAATTTTAAACTTCTTAATGTAGTTTTCAGGGACTCTCTGTGACAGAGATTACAAACTGGTGATTTGCAGACTATTTTGGTTTGTATTCTTGTTTTGTTTTGTTTTGTTTTTTGGCATCTGAACTTCTTTTTGATTGGGAAATTTCAAATAAAACCCAAAAGTTCTGGTTCTCTAGATCACATGAAAATCTGGCAGTGCTGACCTGGAATAGATAGTGGCCATGCCATTTAGACTACCTTCTCCAGGCTTCCGTGTCTCCTGCCAGTCCCTGTTATTTTACATTTAGCTTAATAGACCTGTCTGTGTCATCTACTTGGTACTTACAGGTGTTTGAGTTTGTGACTCTTCCTAAATGCTCCTGCCAATTTCTGCAGCGTTGAGTCTTGTCACTTCCCTCTCTTATGTTTCAGCCACATTGAACTTTCAGTTTCTAGAAAGTGTCTTGTTCCTTTTTACCTCTAAGCTTTATTTTTATTTTGATAAACAAATACAGTTCCTCTTGTTCACAATACTTTCTCCCTACCCATTGTACAAGTCCAGCTTAAACATCAGTTCCTTGGGTATGTTTTCCCCTTTGATATATTTTCAGAGCTCCCTGAACTTCCAAGGTCACAATAGTTATCATATTTGATTGTTTTTTACTTGCTTCTTTCAAAAGGTTATAAACTTTGAGGCCCGTGATTATGCCTAGTGTGTTCACAACTGTCGCCCTTACATTCAACAAGAGTAACTGATGAAATACAGTTGTTACAAATAAGTATTTGTTGAATGAATGAATGGTGTTTGGGTTAGTTATAGTCAGGTATGGATCTACATACATTATTAAAATATCTCCAGTTTTTTTCAACAATACTTACTACAGTGATTTTTTTAAATCCATTGTTGTGGTATTTCTGGCAGTTTGATCCCATTCTGGAATCACTCTTCAACCCACAGATCTTGCTTTAAAAAAAGAAAGAAAGATTTTATTTATTTATTTTTAGAGAGAGGGGAAGGGAGAAAGAGAGGGAGAGAAACATCGATTGGTTGCCTCTCTCATGGGACCCATTTAGGGGCTGAACCTGCAACCCAGGCATGTTCCCTGACCAGGAATTGAACCAGCAACCTTTCACTTTGCCTGACAATGCCCAACCAACTGAGCCACAACAGTCAGGGCTGCAGAGCTTGCTTTTTCACAAGTATGTTTTAAAATCAGAGCTAACCCTTACTCCTTTAAAAACAGTTTTCTATTTTGGATAACTTTGCCTTAGCCCCACCAAGTTAAAATATGGTCTGGAAATTTTATTTATTTATTTATTTATTTATTTATTTATTTATTTAAAAGATTTTATTTTTTTTAGAGAGAGGGGAAGTGAGGGAGAAAGAGAGGGAGAGAAGCATTGATGTACAAGAGAAACATGATCAATCAGTTGCCTTTCGCGCACCCCTAACTGGGAACCTGGCCCGCAACCCAGGCATGTACCCTGACCAGGACTGAACCAGAGATCTTTCCATTCTCAGGCGAGCACTCAACCCACTGAGCCACACCAGCCAGGGCTGGTCTGGAGATTTTAGCTCATATATACCATAATCTTAATTCAGTGAGATTAGAAGTAAGTGTTGAGTTTTTCTAGTTTCCTTGATATCTAATAAAGAAAGTTAGATAATAATTCACCTTTTTCTGTATTTGGGGGTAATATGTGGATTATTATATGCTCTGAATTTAGAAGAAGTCTTTATTGAACATACTGGAGCATACAACCATTTTGGAGGAAGAGTTATCATTAATAACTTCTTAAAACTTTATTTTGAAATTTTTGTAGATTTAGAGGAAGATGAATAAATTATACATGGGACAAAGAAAATGTAGAAGTGGCCAATAAACACATAAAAAGATATTCAACATGATTAGGAAAATCCTGATCAAAACCACAAGATACCACTTCACACTGACTGGCTAAAAAAAAAAAAACAGACAGCCTTGGCTGGGCAGCTCAGTTGGTTGCAGTGTCATCCCTTGCACCAAAGGTCATGGTTTCCACTCCCAGTCAGGGTACATGCTTAGATCGGGATTCGTTTCCGGTCAGGGCACATGCAAGAGGCAGCCAACTGATGTTTCTCTCTCACATTGATGTTTCTTTCTCTCCCTGTCTCTCCCTCTCTCTCTCTCTCTCTCACTTTCTCTCTCTCTCTCCTCCTTCCTCTCTCTCTAAAATCAATAAACATATCCTTGGGTGAGGATAAAAAAAAAAGACAGACAATGACAAGTGTTGTTGAGCATGTAGAGAAATTGTAACCTTCATACACTGTTAATGGGAATGTAAAATGGTACAGCTACTTCAGGAAACAGGTGTCATTTCATCAGGAGACCAAGCCTTGAATTACTGTATCACCCAGCAAATTCACTCTTGTGTATTTGATATGCAAGAGACATGAAAACATATGTTGACCCAAAACCCTGTACATGAATATTCATAGTAGCATTATTTATAATAGAAGTGGAAATGTTCACCAATTGGTGAACAGATAAATAAACTATGGTATATCCATACAATAGAATATTTGGCAATAAAAAACAAAGTACTAATATATGCTACAATGTAGATAATTCTTGAAAACATTAGGCTAAGTGAAAAAAACTAGACACAAAGCACAAAGGTCATGTGTGTTATGATTCTATTTATGTGAAATGCCAAGAACTGGCAAATCTGAGGAGACTGGGAATAGTGGTCACCTAGAGCTGGGGGAGGGGGTGGGGAACTTGGGGAGTAACAATTAGGCCTGGGATTTGCCTCTGTGTAATGGAAGTATTCTAAAACTGATTATGGTGATGGATAGAAAATGGTGAATATACTGTCATTAAATTGTGTACTTTCAGGGGATGAATTGTATAGTGTGTGAATTATGTCAATAACATGGTTAAAATAAACATATATTTAGTCTGTAGAGTCCCTTGAACCCTTTATCAAGTTTTCCCAACAGTGACATCTTATATAACTGTGAGAATTTCTGAAAATTAACATTTGTATAATATTATTAATTATACTTTAGACCTTAGTTTTTAAAAAGATTTTATTTACTTATAGAGAGAGGGGGAGGGAAAGAGTAAAAGAAGGAGAGAAACATCGATGTGTGAGAAATACATTGATCGATTGCCTCTCATATGTCACCCCAACCAGAGACCAAACCTGCAATCCAGGCATGTGCCCTGACGGGCAATTGAACTGGTGACACTTTGCTTTGTGGGACGATGCCCAACAAACTGAGCCACACCAGTCAGGGCCAAACCTTAGTCAGTTTTTTCATATACTCCAATGAGTGTGTGTGTGTAGTATAGGTCTATGCAATTTCAGCCAACACACAGATTCATGCAAGGGCCACTGTCATCATGATATAAAACTGTTCCATCACCACAGAAGGAATCCCTTATACTAATTTTTTATAGTCGTACCGACTTCTCCTGTGCTTTATCCCCTGGCATTTGATCTCCATCTTTAAAGTTTTATCAGCTTGAGGATGTTATATAATCAACTCATATCTTTTAAGATTCAACTAAGCATAATGCCTTTGAGATCTATCCAAATTTTTGTATGTATCAATATTTTATTTTTAAAAATTGCTGAATAATATTCCACTGCATAGATATACTGGGCTTTGTTTAACTAGTCACCTGCTGGAAGACATTTAGGTTGTTTCTAGTGTTTGGCTATTACAAATAAGGCTGTTTTAAACATTCTTGTACAGGTTTTGGTAAGAACATACATTTTCATTTCTCTGGGATAAAATGCCCAAGAGTGCAATTCATTGGTCATATAGTACTACATATTTAGTTTTATGAGAAATTGACCACAGCTAATATCATACTCAGCAGTGAAAAACTAAAAGCATTTCCCTTAAGATCAGGTGTAAGACAGGGGTGTTCATTTTCACCACTCTTATTCAACATAGTGCTGGAAGTCCTAGCCACAGCAATCAGATAAGAACAAGAAATAAAAGGCATCCAAATTGGAAAGGAAGAAGTAAAACTGTCATTGTTTGCAGATGACATGAATACTG